CCGCGCCCCGGAAGAGGCCTGACCGAGCAGCAGGCGCCAGGCCCCGCCCGTATTTATGTAGTCTGTTGTTATTCATTCTTTGTCAGGTCATCTGTTATGTTCATGCCATGTTTCCAAGGTTTTGTGCTTCCAGGTATTTACATATTCTCCCCAGGTTTCCGTGTTCAGGGTTTTTTATGTTTACTTTCTAATTTTCTCATTTTAGGCCTTTTCCTTTAGGGTCAAATTGATTTTGCTTTCTGTTAAAAGTTTTGTTTCGCGTGTCTGCATTTGGGTCCTCCACCATGTGGAAACCCTTTTAAAGTTCACTTTTTCTGCAGTTTTCCTCAGAAAATTATCAGAAAATATCAAACATCTAGGGTACCAGCACTCTTTTCAGCTAAACTGGTGCAGTTTATTTAAACTATGATATATCCCATGACATTGATGTTCAGAGCTGGTTACTGGATATCATACACAAGTAGTTTAAACGTGTTTTTCCACACTGACACTTTCATGTGGATATCTGCCAAACACTGAGAAACGCTGGAAAAATAATGACAAATCAGCAAATTTCAACCAACATATGAGGGGAACATCTGGGCTAAAGTTGCTGTAAAAACATCAGCTGATTCTGAGGGGTTCAGGTGGGAGGCACTCTTCGTGTAAGCACCTTGTTCTTCCTGGGTCTCGCTCTTTACAACGGCTGCAACAGAAGAATTAAATAACTCTGATTGATTAATTCTGCATTGCTGCATCAGGCTCAGTCTGCACTTTTAATCAAAGAACTAAATCTTTATTTCTCAGTTTCTGAACGAGCTTCGCTTGTGACAGTCTGATCTCCTGCCCTTCCTCCTCCTCCTCTTCCTCTATCAGCGTCCGTCTGTGCCGGTGCTGCTGGTCCAGGCTGATAGTAAAGAAGCTTACACCACAGGGCAGCAAGGTCAGGGTTCAGAGAAAGGGAGAAGATTACCCCCAGCCCGCTCTCCCTACGAGTGGTTTCCTTTTGTCTCCTTGCTCTGGGCTCCTTGCTGCGAGTCATGTCGAGTCCCCTGCTGAGAAATCGAGTCCTTCAAAGTTATTTTCTCTTTTTCTGACGCTAAAGAAAGGCAGCTGGGTCCTTTAAAGTCACGCCAGGCGCAGCGGGATGCTGCCTGATGGAGCTCTTAAAGACGATTATGTCATAAGTGTCCAGGTGCTTAACTCACCCAAAGATAGATATCAATGGGGGTTTCCCATTCATGCGGTGTTTCTACGTGTTCACACGCTGGCTCTTGTTTGGTGGCCCAGAACTGATTACGTTGGAGCGGCAAGAGGGTGATGACGGTATAAAGTTTGTTTCTTTCCTTTGCAGATGCAGCATGTCTTTGACAAACTTCCTGGATTTAGATCCATCCATGTGCTGGGTATCAGGTGAGTTCGAACCGTGAAGCATACATCTGAGTAATCAAATCTCTCCAGTGTGGCGGTGGTGGCAGCGAGGCAATCCAGCGAGGCTTGATAATTTCATCACATCTGAAACAAGCAGATCAGTCGGCGTGGGCGGCCTGTGAATAGATAAGAGGCCGGTTGTGAGTCGGATTGTTTCAGACACCGCCGCAGGCGAATGTTTCGTGCCACTACTAACAAGACTGAATGGAAAGATTATCTATCTCTGCTGGATGCGTTTCCTGTTTATAAGCAGTGACAGCGGGCCAGCATCAAAACCTGACAAGGGAAGAAAATATTATTTTAGTTTTTTCTCAAAAACAAAGTCATTTTTAACCGTTTAGAAAAAAAAACTTGGTTTGAAATCAGTCAAACAGGAATGAATTAAGCAAATATTCAACCGTTCGTCACAGAGCGCTTTGTTTTGCATGGTTCTGTAATCCAAGCGTTTCGAATTCAGTTTCACCAAGCGCACCAAGGCTCAATCGCAAATATATGCCTGATATGGTTTTTTCACGTCCACATAAAGCCCTTGACCAAGGCGCCAAATACGATTATGAGCTTTTCTAACATTTAGCGAAGCAAAATTATTCAAGACGTCTCCCGTACAGCCACCTCGCAGCAGCACGGGGCATTTATTCTAACCACAATATGACCTGATGTAAGAGTAATCGTTCCTTCACACACAGATGTCTGTGCATCCTGCCTGTTTTAGCTTCCTTAAAAACCAAAGAATGAAATTATCTCCGATAACATACTTCACCTGGACGACCTTGACACCAAACTGGCTGCACATAAAAGTAACACTTGCTCATTTCATTTTCTGACTCAGATGATCAGACAGGACATGCCTGAAACACGCGGCACTTTGCTTTGTTTGTGACTCTGTTATTGCGGGCTAGCGTTCCCACGCCTGTGCAGACGTCTGTGGTTATAAATCTTATATTCACCTTTCATCCTCACGTGCACCACCCGGTACCTCAACTTCAACCCCAAAACTCTGAGAATGTCACCATAGACACCACTGGTATGTTTCACTGCTGCTCGCTGAGTCTCCGAGTGTTTGCAGACAGGTCGGCATCTTTGTGACAACCTGCTCGTAACCAAAGCAACTATGAGAAGGATTTTAGTGCTTCACTGTACCGTTTGAGGTCAATTGCACCAAGCAACTGTTCACCAACCAGGGGGCGCCGTTGTGTCTCTGAGCATATGTGACTGTGAAGAGGACTTCTTGAAGATTGTCTCATTAAACGCTTTCACATGCAGTGTTGGGCAAGTTACTTTGAAAAAGTAATTAATTATAGTTACTAGTTACTTCTTCAGAAAAGTAACTGAGTTAGTAACTGAGTTACAAGATACTAAAAGTAATTAATTACTTGAAAAGTAACTATTGCATTATTGCATTATTACCCTGGACCCTCTGGGGTCCAGGGTAATAATGCAATAATGCATTAATACAATAATTGGCCATTTTTAATTGGCCAATGCAATAATTGGCCATTTTTAACTACTTTTGATTTTGCCTCACCTTTAAAAACTATTTACTTTGCCTTGTTTGGTATCAATCTTTTCAACACAACGTCACGTGTCTGAATTTACAGTTATGTTTTCATTTTGACATACTGTATTAACATAATTGATCTAAAATCAGACAAAAAACATAAAATCTGAGTAGAAAAAGTTATATTTTTTACTGTAACAACCACAAACATGTTTATTGAATCATATTTCATAACTTTAAATGCAAATATAAATTATCAATTTTAAAAAAAGTTAAAAAGTTATTTGCAGCCATTTCCCTTGTACCCCCCCCTTTTTTTTATAACCACTTCAAACTATTGACATAACCATCAGGTGTTCTGCATTCAATAAGATGCCACACTACGGAGCCCCGCAAGGGACATGGGAGAAAGAAAAATTAAGTTGGACTTTTGCAAGATCTCGCAAAACAAACTCGGGATCTCACAAAAGTTTTGCGAGATCTCGCAAAAGTTTTAGCCGCATTCTTCGGAGGCCACCAGCTCAAAGTGGTGTTCCTCCCGGCTGTAGTAGGTACCTCCCGTTAGCTTCGAGACGGTGGGTGTCAGAGCTCCGAAAATGTCGGAGCACTTTTGCAAATATGTGATGTCTTGTAAACCGAGCAGATATCTGACGTTTACACAACTACATTCACGCCTCAAAATATCTTAAAAGTTTATTTTGTGACCCAGAAAGAGTAATATTACAACTAAGTAGCTGCCGCCATTGTTGCGGGGCTCTGTACCACACAAATTATTTGTGCCACTCCTAAAAAATAAAATTCTGTCCACTATATAGGAGAACATCACAGCCTGATACCTGCAGGTCTAACAGCAGCAGGTGTATCACTCCTTTTTCTACCTGGAGACAGCAGTCGCCTCATTGTTCTGACACACAACACAAAACCACAACACTACACACTTAACTACACAAGACAACACAATAACTACACACTTCAAACATGCTAAACGTCACAAATCTCTCACATCTCAAAACTCGCTCTCTCTCTCTTTCTGCTGTCTTTATCTCTCTCTCTCTTTCTCTCGCCGTCACTACTAAAACTTCCCCTCTTCCCTAAACAACCAAATGTCATGTTGCCATATCATTTTTTGATTGGTCGACATGGTGCATTTTTCCACCAACACGAACGGGCTGTTTTTTGGGGTTTTTTGGTCATAAGCAGAGAGTGCTTGCTAGCGCTGTCCTTAGACAGTAAACGTGATGAAACTATTCAGGAAAAAACACAGTGTATATATTGTTTATCATGACTCTGGTTTTACGTGGCTTATCAACACAATTTAAAAACTGGTATACATCACCTTGTTGCTTTGTCATCTTGAAGTGGTCATGTGACTGGCTTACCACGACTACTTTATTCTTCCTCAGTCAAACAGCAGCACTCATGCAATTGTTTTGCCCCCTTAGCTCCAGGTGTTGTGCAAAAAGTGATCATCGGGCAGACAGTGATTGCCGTCCGCGGGAGCGCACAGCTGCTTAAAGCTGTAGCGCCCAGATTACTTACAGCTACTTCCGTGCAACTGATATAAGGTGCGGTAAGCTGAACACAGACGTCTGTTTGTTGAAAAATAGTAACGCGACCGCACCACATTTTCTTGTTAGTAACGGTAACAGTGTTTTAACGATAGAAATAGTAATTAGTTAGATTACTCGTTACTAATGTATGAGTTAGTAATGCCGTTACTTGTAACGCCATTATTCCCATCACTGTTCCCACTTTTCCACCTTCGATGTAAAGCGCTGCTACAGAAATCACTGCAGGAGTCAGAGCCACTCAGTCCTGATGCAGCAGGTTATTTAAGCTGTTCATTGTTAAAGTTTGTATTTTATTCTGAGCATGTTTTTTTGCCAGCTTTAACATTGATTGTTGTTCTTTTGTCTACAGTGTTTCCCCCAGAGAAACAGGCTTTTTCAGACTCCAACATAATGCGCATCATTTCATGCCGAATTTAAAGTGACACTCGAATGGCTCGTTTCTTGTGGCTCTTGTCATCCCGGTGGTGCCTTTCTTTCTGTTACACTTTCATTTCCAGCTCTAATGCCTTCTTTTCTTCTCCCCAATGTAAGCGAGACCCAGGACACTGACGGGTAAATGGCACCAAGAGATGAAACATCCCCTGTAGTATCCGCCTCCTGTTGTGTGTTTGTGTTCAGTTTCCTGCCAACGTGCGGCTCAGCTTTTATTTGTGTCCGAGTTAGACTCACAGAGGGGGGATTATTTCCCCCCAAACTGTTCACACAGCTCAGTGCAAAGATCTGCACAGGGACCAAATAACTGCTCAGACAGGCGGACAGCTTCCTGTGAATTGCAATCGCGTTACAGGTGAACACAAGGAGCACAGATGCTTTTTCATGAAGTTTGTCACAGTGTCAGAGAAGACAGGTGAGCAGGGAAACAGGAAGACCTGTGGATACTGTAATTGTCAGGCTGCTCCCCCAATTAATTTGCCTTCCCCTGTGGCGTCTGGGGCTGTCACGGCCAATAACGCGGAGGTGAGCCCTCAGCGGGAGCTCGTCCTCTAATCTCGGGAAGGATTCACAGCTCCTCCTTCATCTTCCTGCCAGATTGCAACAAAGCAAAGAGTGACTTTTCTCAGTGTTTGAATTATGACAATAAGCAAGAATATTTTCTTACTTCTTAATAAGCAGCAAGAGCTGGACTCATGTCAGTAAAAATAAAATCAAACAATAACACGTAACAAAGACCTGACAAACCTACAGCTGACTTACCGCTTCCCTCGAGATTTTAGCCTCTTTAAGCTGCTTGTTTTGGTTTTCAAGTCTTAAAGATGTTTTGATGCAGCCAGATGTTTTACTCGGGGAAGCTGGAGACCACAGACTGTACATAAAAGATGGAAAAAGGAAGCGCGTTTTACTGGCGTTCATTCAGTTAGCCAGCCACGGAGGATTGCAGAAATACACGAAATACATGTGAATCACAGGTATTAAAAACAGTAACTTTCTACAAAATGAAGGAGTGACAAGAGTATTCAGTCTCTATTTAAGGAAAAGTCATAAAAATATGTTTAGTACCTAAAATAAAAGTACAGATTATGTAGAATCATAAATGTGATTTCGCTTTAGAGCGATATGTTACCATGCATGAGTACATTTGTTTTCAAATCTGTAGTAAATAAATAAATGGAGTGCAAAGTAGAGTGTTTACA